AACCTATTTTAGTTCTGACTACCTTACTTGCTGCCTAGGATGTAAATGGACCTGTCTCTTACACTATTCTCATCCAAATTATTAGTATTCCTTTTTGTCTTGAGCTTTTTATTTTCAAGTGAAATGAATTTGTATCTCTGTTCCTGTCCCTTCCCACCCCAAAAATGCTGGCAGTTGACAAAACCCAGTAGTCCAGGAATTTTGCACTCTAATCTTGAGCTAGGGTGGGTTTTGTATATAGGCTTCTAGAGGTTTGAGCTGAGGGAATTTTTCTGAGGAACAGAGAGAATGGTGGGGAAAGGGTCCTTAAAGCTGGTGCCATTACTCTGGAAGGAACCTGCTTAGCTCAGGAATTTTGGACTCTGCCGATCACATCCCTGTATTACTGTATATAAGCTGGGCAACTCTTACTCCATACAAATTGTAGCAGGCTGGCCTTAGAAGTCTTTGTTGTAAAATTGAACTAGTTCTTTTCCTGGCCACTTCTAGGTGCTCTGGTTGGGATCCTCATTGCTGTGCAGTGAGTGTTCAGTCGTCATAGCAAGTATTGCCTCATGCTGCATAGATTTTTCTGTGAGGGTGCAGTTACAATAGAGTGACATTGCTGTTTTCCTTGTCATAGCTTCCTTCTCTTACGTCCCTGCTGTAGATATTTTATAGGAAGGACCCCACTATTACTCGTGTCACAGACATGATACAATTTCCCATTTAGCTTACTAAAATCAGAAGCATTTAAAATGATACAAGTCCAATGAGTAGAAACTACCCCAACCACAGTGGGGATTTTGCTGTTCAGTGCCTAGTTTCTCTAGGGAAGGTACTGCTCTATTCTTCTGTTACTTTATCCACACCAGTGTGGAAGGCCCCTTTTATTAGTCTACAAACAGCTGCTGCTCTTTGCAGGCTATTCTTATGGCTAGGAGCTGCTATCATCTCACTAGTGACAGTGAAATTTTGTCCCTAAGGCGATATACTTTTATGCTTGGCAAATGAGAGAGAGACAGGAGAGCCCCCCTCCTTAGTTTCACAGTGGGTGCTAAAACTAGCCTCAGCTTTAGGTTAAGATCTGAGTACATTTCCCAGTGCATTCTGGATATTTGTATGCAAATTGTGAAATGCGCTCTTCTCACCCCACCGTAAAAGTTCCCTGTACTAGATACTCACACTGGAACTAGAGAAGAATAGTTTTTTACAGGCCAGGGAAGGAGAAATCATTTTCTACTATGTTGAGATCAATAGAGATACAAGATTCACTCATGTATTGTTAAATTGAAACACGCGTTTTCTTCCATCACAGTAACACAAACTTTTCCTACTGTGTACAATTGTTCACCGGGACTCTAGTCCCACACTGACAACCGTGGGAAAGGGAGAGGAGAAGGCAGTGGCAGCAGCAAATAAATTCTTGGCTTAGGATTTTGTTAAATATTCCCCCCTCCCCGTCAAGAAAATGCTCAGGGCCTTGACTGACTTCTGCTTCAGTGGAGAAGCAGCCACAATCCCTGCTTTTTTTTTTTTTGGATTCTTTATTCCCTGATGATGATTCTCCTCATCAGTTCTTACTAATAAGTTACAGTTGGGAAAATATTCTCCTCCCACAGTAGCCTATAAATTTGCTCATCTTCATTAGTTTCCACTAAGAATACTGACTCGCACCTTTTGAGTTTGAACCAGTTGTTGCCAACCCTAGCTCTGGCCATTTGGTGGAAGTGATCCAATGAGGGGCACATAAACTTGAAGTACAGTTTTGTTGTCATTGGTTTGGAGGCCATGCTTTTGCTCGAAGGTTGATTGTGGATTAGGAAACAGGTAGACTTGCTCCCCCTCCTTAAAGTATGTGGAGGCAATCCTGAAGGTGGTGCTGATCTGAAGTGTGCTGGCCATCTCTCCATGATAGAATGCTTACAGTTGGTAGAGGGGGAGACACTACCTTCGTCATTCATTGTAATGTTACTTTTGTACTGTCATCCACATTAGTATTGCCCTCCCCTCCTTTCCAAAACTAAGTGCCTCAGTGGGTTTTACCTTAATGAATTTTCTACCTTGAACCCTTTTCTTGCATCTCTCTATATTTGGCTGCTGCACATACTCAAGCTGTCATAAAACTAACTACCAAGCATTTTGTATTTTTTAGCTGTAGACTGCTTTCCAAAAAAAGTATCAGACTGTGCCCCTCTTTTTACAGAGGGAGAAACTAAGTCTAGAGGAAAGGATGGGGCCTTGGTCAGACTCAGAGGTAGGAATAGAACATAAACTGGAGTGCTGTATCTGTCCACTGGACTGTGTTGCCTACTACAGCAGCAGTTATTCTCAGATAATTGCTCAGGCTGCATTTAGTAAGCACAACCCCTACCACATGGCCAGAAACAACTTTTGGAAGCTAGCTTTGTTTTTGGTATTTAAAAAAAAAAAAAATCCACCCTCCTGAGACAGCTGTGCTGCCAAAACAAGTGTAGACATGGCTTTCAGAACTCTTTATTCTAAGGATGAAATCTCACGGGCCTCTCCCTCCTGAAATATATGCAGATCAATTATTCCTTTGTATCTGATTCTATGTACATCCGCATATCCAGTAGGTTACAGGGGAGAAATTTTGATATTCTACAGTGGACTGTGGTGATGTGTGAAACAGAAAATAAATCTGTATTTCTCTCCCCTTCAGGAAACTGGGAGAGCAGCCAAAGCTGTGTATGGTTTTAATAAATTGGATAATTTTAGCACTGAGGGGGCAACAGTGGCATTACTTTGAGCCTGGCTGTAGTTGTGCTTGAGAGCTCAGCGAAGACAGTTCCAAATAAAAGCGAGGTGCATTTTAAACTACGACCAGTTTGCTGTGGGACAGGTACTTCACAGGGCTAATGGTTGCAGGTACAGCAGCTATTGAAAGTAACATGTTGGAGCAGGGAGCATTTGAGTCGTATGTAGTTGTTCCTGGGTTGGGATAATCACATCTGCTGAGGTTAAAAGCTATTTAAGCTGGAAAATTAAAACTACACCCAGCTTGGAACATGTCAGTACAGCTACTAATGTCTACAGCAACTGAACACTTGATATAGTCCATGTTCTTTGCTTTTTAAAGGATTTTCTATCATTTTAATTTATCCTTTCTCCTACTTACAGTTGACCCTCTTAGTTCCCATAGGCAGAGTGCAGTGACTATCCATTTGTTCCCTTGCAGCTAGTGGCCTGAGGGAGCTTCGATGCCTAATTAAAATTTGCATCAAAATCAGCTGCTGATTTCCTTGCTCTAGCTGCTGGGAAAGTGAATGGTCAGAGCAGGTGCAATCATTGCTATGCAGCTGGGGATCTCTCCCATACTCTTGGTTTTCTGACTATTGTTCAAATAAGAAGAGGGCTTACTACTGTTTAAAGTCCCACTCGGACTAAAAGACAGCCCCTTGGTTTGTTATAGAAGCAGCAAAATTTAATGGTGTATTTACAATCTTCCTCTATGCTTCCATTCCAGTAGGTTCCCAGAAATGTAGTTAGCTGCCTTCACATCTTCCAGCAACTTTTTTTTTTTTTTTTTTTTTAAATGTTGTTTCTTTTAACAGGCAAGTGCAGCACCTGGGGGTGGTGGGTAATAAACTGTCTGAAGCCTCTTGTGCCATTTGGTTAATTCAAATATTGTTTCCACAGTGTTAAAGTTCTCTCCAGCTCCAAAGGTCTAAAGTGAAAGGTTATGTACATTTTCCCCCAAATGGGACACTGCTGTAAGACCATAGCCCCAGCTTGCACTTTAATAAATGGTACAGTTTTCAAAACCAATGCGTGGACCTATTCTTATGCTAGTTCCCTTCTGTCATCCTGTGTATACCACCCCAAAGGCATTCCAGTAATCCAAATCCTTGAGCTAACAGCATGCTATTTAACTGAGGTAATGGTGCAGTCTGCTATAGACAACCGCTTGGATTGCTTATCTCTCAGTGCTGGGCACACAGCAAAATCCAGCTAGCCACATTCTCCCATCACTCTTTCAGCTCCAGTAAAGGAAAAGGCTCATATTTCCTTTTATCTTCTTGGCTCTTGAATTTTATAAAGTGATTCCATTTCAGAGGGACAGCAGAAACCTTTTAAAAAAAAAATGGGGCTAAACTTTCAAGGACAATAGAATTCAGTTTTTTTAAAGCACTTCCTTGTACCCCCAGTTTGAAAATGGACAACAGTTGCATTTACAATTTTATTAAGAATAAAATATTTACAGGTAATGCAAGAAACAGCAACTCAGTTCAGTTCATGTAAAGTGTCACATGGAGACTACATTCCTGGTAGGCCCACCAGGCATGAGTTAATGTGAGAGGATCAAGGTTGCCAGCCTCTTAGGCACTGACTACAGGGAGGGACCTAGGGAGTGGAAATTAAAGCTAGTGTGTGTTTTGCTCAAGTATGCCCAGATGAATGTTATCTGACTTGATCACATCACTCAATTCTGTTGCTTTTCTATAACTTTGCACATGTAAATCAGACATCCAGAGGCTTAAAAGAATAATTTGGGTGGGCAGGCAGGGTTTACTCCCCCACTAATGTGCCTAGGGAAAAAACCCTGAGCATACAGTTTGCTCAAGAAGGGCTCTCCCCAGCCTGTAGTGAAGGCACACCCCTCAGAGTTAGGTGGTTGCCTCCAAACCAGGCTAGCAGCTAAAGCACTTAGAGGAGTGAAAAATTCACCCCCTACTCTGGCTGTTACCCTACCCCAGGTGTAAACAATTCCTCCATTGACCTAGCCACTGCTGCTAAGAGAGGTGGATTACCTATCATGATGGGGGGGGAGAATGCTTGTTGTCAGAAGAGGCTACATTAGCATAATGTACACAGTAGAAACCTCTACTTTTACTTGCATTAGTAACCAACCCCTTCTGCAGTGAGGCTAGATCACTTGCAGTTGATAGGGAAAACTGGGGGACAGTATTGGAGGATTGTGCTCAGACTAGAGGGGCTCAGCTTACTACAGCACAAAAGAACCATTGGCTATACCTCCAGAAGACCTAGCACTACACACCTGGGCTAGGCCACTACCACTATTGATCTCATGCATTAACCTTGCAGGGAAGACATACCCTAACAGGCTGCAGGCTCACTGCCAACAGATCCTATCCTCAGTGCATGGGCTAAAGTTTCAGTAAACACACCTGAGTGCACTGCCAACTGGCACTTCCTCTTAAGTCATACAGGTCTGTACCAGCACCAAGTCACAGTCAGTATTTGGTAGAAGAAAGTAACAGGCAAGCAATACTCCTACATGTCTGCTGAACAATCGCACAGCTTGAACATTTCTCCTGTACTGATCTCTGAAAAACCTAAAACATAACTAAGGGGTTGTGCTTCCCCCTTCACAGCTGCATTGCAAAGAATTTAAATGAGGAAAAAAAAAAGCAAAGTTTTAATGTTTAAAGTAAATACTCAAAAAGCAATCTTCTCCACAGCAGTCAATGGGACTGGCTCCATTCTCATTCAACTCTAGAGGGGACACATAGAACAAGGGTTAGCAAAGGCAACAAGCCAAGACAGTATACATATTCTTAGTGAAATCCCTGTCATTCTTCCCTAAGAGGGGGAGCATGAATGTATAAGGAGGAAGGGTCTGACACTCTCACAAATTCATCACCAGGAGAATGGAGAGATTTTAAAAAGGAGCTGCTGGAGAGGAATTTGCCCCTCAACCTACTGTTTATGTTTACAGTCTAGCTGTTTTTAATGACCACCACCCCATTTCTGTGTTCATAGCAACATCCCTTGTGGCCCTTCTGGGAAATTGGTGCTATTTATGACTCCACCTGCCAGATTTCTGTCATTCTAAGGCCTGATGTACATTTAAAAGTTTTGCCAGCATAAATTTGTTGATTAGAGGTGACCCAAAAAAAATCACCCCTGTTGCCACACAGTTGTGCTAGTAAAAAGCTCTAGCACAGATGCAGCTATACTGGCAAAAAAAAAAAAGAGTCCTTTGGCTAGTATCGCTTATTTCATACGGGGAACTGGTATAAGCTATATCGGTCAGAGTTCTTTTGCCAAGATGAGCTGGGTCTATACTAGAAAGGGTTTGCTGGTATAGCTACACTGTGTAGTGTAGGCAAGACTTAAGTGTCAGCCAGGGAGCTAAAGGCTGGTTCTCATGGCAGGAGCCCCCCCACCGTAGTCCTACCCAGACCCCTTCTCTTCACATCTAAATCTTGGGGATTGGCCAGTTCCCAAGGCAATACACACCTGGGGATCTGTTTCTGCAGCATTAACCCGTAAGAACTGGCTCTGTTGCACACTCTCTAAAATAAGCAGCCCCAAGCAGTGCATTAAAGTTTGAGTCACCTGAGAAGTCTCTCTCTCATTTGGCCTTGTGCCACCACTCAAGATAGGCAGGCATTGGTAACACACTTGCCAGTCAGTTTTCAGACACAATTATTGTAGCCAACACAGTCTACACCATTTGCTAAAACAGCTATGGTCCAAATCCTGACTCCACTGCACAGTCTGAGTAACGGGACTGCAATGAGGATCCTCTCCCCACAGGCTGAGCAGCTGTTCTGGAGCCATTGCACTATGTCCCATAGCGCATGTGCCCTCCCTGTGTTTGTGCAGGAGGAGAGAGAAGAGCTTGTGGATCTAAATAATTCCAGAAATGCTACCCCTGCAGACTAGAATGCAGCTCAGCTCTACAATGCAGACAGTGCTGACCACCTCCCAAGGATACTCCATCACCTTCTGCAGTGAAATGACACTGCTCCCTTTGCTCTCAGGTGCTTCCATGTCTGCAGACTGGGGGGGGCAAGTTTGCCCATGTCAATGCACCATCACTGCCAAGGTTTCAAATACCCAGTGGTACACTATGGGCAAATTAGTTATTTAACATTTCCCCTGCCAATTTTGTAAAGGCAATTCCTTATGTATCAGAGCCCAGCTGCCTTTTCAGTAACAGCTTGGTTTAGCCCTAACTTTCTATATCTCCGGCTTTGAAAACACCACCTCCTCAGGACACTTTCACCTCTGACCTCTCAACTACCGATCTTGGCTCACTGTCACTCCAGCTGTGCGTTAGCTCCACACACAGAAAAGAAGAATGGGGTCTCTTTACTATTTAAAGATTTCCCCATTCTCTCGCTGTCCCTGTGGCACTAAAATTACCTTAACCACTTAGAGTGGTGGTTTCAGGTGGGGAACAGAGAGAGAAGGGGAACCCAGCAGGACAGAAATGGGTGCAGAGACAAGTGGAACATGATCAGAATTGGGGCTCAGTCTGGGCAACTACCTTCTTTGCCCTGGAGGAACTGATCACTCCTGGGCCCATCCATGCCACGCCCAGGAGAAGCTGCTGTGAGCAACATGTGACTTACTATTCACACACCCCCTTGCCTACGGGCAGGGAGCTTGTGGACACTCTGTGCTGGAAGAGGTCAACCTTTGGATTTGAACTCAGGGAGCGAGTGGGTGGAGCTCTCTCACACAGCTCCCCCCCAACTCCCCTTGGCCAGACTCATCCCACAACAGTATTAGTACCTAAGCAGAGTGGGACTCCAGCTCCTGCTGCAAAGCCTTAAGTGGCTATAAGGTAGTAAAGAGACCACTGATTCTACAGGAATATAGATAGCAATTAGAGCTGGAGGGAGCTCTACTAGATAACATACAATCCCAGTCCCATCCCCAGCCAGGATTATTCCCTATACTGCTTTGCCCAGTCCCGAGTTAGCAGGCTGCTGCCACTTTTCTTGGGAGACTTCCACAGCTTAAGAGACAGTTTGATGATTCTTACTTGTTATCCCAGGTTGATGACGTAATTGTGGAGGTTCTGGTTGATGTAATTCACAGTGGTGTTAAAGACACGGTATAGAAGGGATGGCATTTTGTTTGCTACTGTTCTGGCTAAAACCATTGCTAGCACCAGCATGGCTTTCTCCCGATCCATTTCTAAAGGTACGGTTCTCATGAGCCCCTCCACTGTATTAGACAGACGCCTCATTATCTCCTGAACAGAGGGGAGAGAAAAAATACAGTAAGTCTCTCTAAATATCCCACTATGGCCTGTAAGAGTGACAAAACATTCACCCACCCAACTGCCCCAAAACGCTGCTACAATCCCTTCAACTCAGAAGCACACATGGACTCATACTGGGTGGTGTTTCACACCTTGAGTGGCTTTTATGCAACGGGGTTCACCGTCATGAACCGCAGGATTTACACAGGACAGAAGTTACATATAGCTGCTCTGGATCAGTGAAAAATACATACATCCCCAGCAACACAATCTAGATCAGTGGTGGGCAACCTGCAGCCCGTGGGCTGCATGCGGCCCATCAGGATAATCTGATTGCGGGCCGCGAGACATTTTATGGATGTTGACCGTCCACAGGCCCGGCCCCCCGCAACCACTGGGAGCTGGGGGGCTGTGCCTGCTGACAGTCAACTTCAGCAAAATGTCTTGTAGCCTGCAATCAGATTACCCTGATGGGCCATATGCGGCCCGCAGGTTGCCCACCACTGATCTAGATGCTGCACAAACTAAGATGCGTAACTACTCTAAACAACGCACAAAAAGCTTATCTAGTCCCACGCAAAAAAGGTGCATGTCTCTGCCTCCTATATTGCTGGAGTTTAAAAGTTTTACGCCAAGGTCATAAATTGGAGGCCTAACAAGGTCCTGAGCACTCTCAGCTGCCACTGAAGGTCAGTGGGAATTGTGGCTACTCAGAGTCTTTCAGGACCAGACCGTTAGATTTTATACAACAAGGGATTTTATTATATGAATAGACAGATTGTTTAAAATAATCCAGCATTGTCTACCACGCACCACTTGCTGAGAGTTTGACTCTGGAGCATAATAGATCACACACTGCATTTGCCTGTAACTTGCACAGAGATGCTTGGGAAACATATCCTGGGCAAGAGTGGATGAGCGCCAAAATGCCACACTTACCTGAAGATAATGGAGAGCTCCAAGGAGGTGAACAAAACTGACTAGCAGATCTAGATCTCGGTCCTTCTGAGAGGAAGGATGGTTTATGGCTAAAGCACATGAGTGGAGTTGGAAGAGCTGGTCTTTATTCCTTCCTCTAAGGGTTTTCTGCAACATCCAACACTCTAGTATCTAAGTGTTGCTGAGTTTCTGCAACTGATAGTATTACTTAAGCACCAGTGTGCTTAGCTGTGTACATGAAACAGCTGAGAGTCTTACAGTCTTAACAAATGCACAAGGTTCACTGTTAGCTAAGTCACTTAGGGCACACCTACACTGCAAAAGCCAAACTAAATCAAAAAACCCCACAAACCCACAGCAGTGAGTCTCAGAGCCCTGATCTTCAGGCTAAAATGGCAGTGGAGTGGAGATGTTCCTGCTCAGGCTGGAGCCCAGGCTCTGAAACCTGATGACGGGGGTGGCTCTAAGAGCCCAGACTCCAGTCCAAGCAGGAATGTCTACGCTGCTATATTTAGCCCTATAGTGTGAGCCCCAGACAGTTGATTCAGACTCTGAGACTCACTGCTGTGGGTTTTTTTGCAGTGATTTTTGGCCTGATTTTCAGGAGGTGCTGAGTCCTTGCAATTCCCACTGATGTCAGTGGCCACAGAGTGCTAAGCACATCTGAAAGTCAGGCCCTTACCCTATCTGTGCCTTAGCTTCCCCACTGCAAGATGGGGATGACAAAACTGCTGGACCTACCTCTCAAGGGGGTGTGAAGCTGATGTAATGTTTTCTGGGATCTTTACATGGAAGGTGCATGCAAAGGATGGATTCTTGACCTGGTCATGCTGAAAGCAACAAACTACCTAAAATAACAATCCAGGCAACTCTCCATTCTTGCTGATCACATCCAGAAGGATCTGTTACATTTTCGTCTTTCTTTAGTTATTGCTAATCAGCTGAATTCCTCACTTACCTCTTTGGTCAGATTCTCATTCACAAATTGCTGCACTAGATCATTTACTACTCTCTGATCGATCTCCCTAGCCACTTGGTCCCCGATCTCAGCAAGCCGAGCTCCGATGAGCTGGAAAATGGCCTCATCAACCACAGAACCTAATTCCAGCAAAATAAAGAGATGGTTTTAAACAGGATTTTGTTCACACACAGACATGACCAAATCTAGGTCCAGTGCAGGTGTACAACAGGCTCAAGTACCCCAAAAGCGCTCTCGCTGTCATCTGCGCACAGCAGCTCTTCCCACAAAGTGTTCAAAACTACTACACGCCTCAGGGATCATTCCACTCATCACTGACATGCAGCCACCTCTGAGGTGGAACACGATAGCCCGGAATGGAAAGCTGAATGTCCAGCAGCACTATGCAATAGTTCAGGAGAAACATTATCTCACTCAAATGATACTTCAGGGGGAATTTAAAATATAGCTACTGAAATGAAATTTGGCCAGGCCACTGTGGTAACACCCTCATCCTGGAGGGTAAAAAAGCCACGTGATCTTTCACAACCATGGTCAGGACCTCTTACATCTTATCTAGAATACAGCATCTCTATTACCAGAGCCACCTCTGACACCATCCTGGGGCCATTAGTTCAATACCGATTTGGAGGGCAGAGTGCCACCTACTATAAACACCTGGATTTATCTGAGAGATCACCCATCCAAGAGTAGTTAAGCAGGCCCAGCCCTGCTTAGCCTATGAGACTGGATGAGGTCACAGCCCAAGGTGGTATAGCAATGCCCCTGGGGGCACTACACTGTAGATAACAGTCAATACTACTACTATTGCATCAGCCATCTTTGGATACTGTTTCCCCATCACATAGGCAAAGCAAAATGTGGTGAATTTCAGCCCAAACAGCAGAGATATGAGTTGTTCCTAAAGTCCCAGTTCTAAACTAGCTAACAGGTGCCAAGTATCCAAACACTTTCTAAAACTCAAGGCCTAACAAAGTAGACTGGAGTTTGGGGCTCCATTAAGGCAAACTGCAAGGTTGTGGAAGAAAAGGCATCTAAGTACTATGGTGAAGAGTGCTCCAGAAATACCGAGACAGGTAAGATAAGGTGCTAAGCATCAGCTGTACCATCTGAACTGAGAAAGCCCAATTTGTTAACATCAAGAGCCACAGCACAGCAATATTCCACAGAGAAAATATTCCCTGTACCATTCTGCTACAGAAGAGATCAGCTTCAGAATGGTGGGATAAGGGAAGGAGGAGAGTACTTACCTGGCTCACCATTCTGGAACCGGCCACTCCGATTCCCATCTGTCTGAAGCTCCCCATCATCAAACTCAACAGAGAGGAAGTTTTTTGATGGGGAAACCATCACCTCGCTTCTCAGAGAATCCAGCTCTTTGCTGAAATCACAGTTGTGACAGTTCTTCAGAAAGGAATACACGAGGATGCGCTCCACCTGTACATCGCCATGCAGACCCTAAAAATAAGCACCAATAAGTCATCATGAATCTGACAGCCAACAAGACACTCCTGCCTGAGAGGACTGTTTTCCACTACTGTCTCTCTATTATGGACCTCCTCCAGGAGCCTGAAATAATGTTAACCAAAGAGGTTGCATGACTGCATTCTGATTGTCATGGCTTTGTTTATGTGTAGGACCTACAGAAAGTGCTGCATGATTTTTGTTTTTACTAATCCAGTGGTGGAAGGATTAATTTAAGATGCTCCATGTATTTCAAGCTGCAGTTTAAAACTACCATTTTAAAACATGTACTTACACAAAACTTCAGACCATAAGCCTGTTACCTTGAATTTGGGAACTGATTATTCTATTTCCCGTTATAAATATAAGCAACTGATGTCCATTTACCATTTAAAAATAAGCAATGTGAGATATTAACCAGGGGAGGGTTCTCACACCAAAAAAAAATACAGACTCTTCAAAAGTTAAGAGCACATCTTTCATCTCACTGTTTGACTGGGACCCAGACAAGGTCAATAATGACCATGTTCAGCTAGCATCAGAAAGAGAGCATTCAGCTGGAGTCTGATCTCAGATATGCAGGCACACCCATCCATACAGACTGGGGAATGAGCTGCCTGTATGGGTGGCAGCATGTTGGCAGAAAATCCAAGCTGTACAGAAACATGGTGCCTGCATACCCAAACTTGCACAGGGACTAAGAACCAAAATGAGTTCAGACTGAGCATCCCCCAAATTATTAAATGTTAAAGACTACACTTTTTTTGGCCTATATTTTAAAAAGTGACTAAAGTTGAGCACCCAAAATCACTAGATACCTCAAAAGAGGCCTGATTTTCAGAGGGTCGGGGCAGAGGGAAATCATACCCCTTAAGCTGGGCACACAAGATCACCAGTCACTTCTGAAAATTTAAAAACTTACAGAATTTTGAAACATAAAACCTTTTGGAACTGACCTGATCCATGCTGGCTGCTGGGCCGGTGCAGCTGAGTCCTTCCCCTGCAAGGGAACAAAAGGAAGATGCCAACGAGCCTGCAAGCCACTTTGTCCCAGAGATTCTCCTTGACAAGCCTTTACTGATCCAGCCCTGCTTTGCGAAGCATGGGCCTTCCCCAGGAACACAGGCTTGGTGATTTGGCAGTCATAGGGAACGCTGTGAACACTGGACCAGATGAGCAAGTAGGCCCCTTTTTAGGAGTGAAGAGGGGTGGGATAGGAGGACACAATGCCTCCCCTCACTGGTAGCTCCACCTTCCTGCTTTATGAATAGGCATGATAATGGGGGGGGTGGGGGTGCTGACAATCACCATGACAGCAAGTGACCTAGAAAGGAACAGGGGCTTTTAGAGTCAGGGCCTTCTGCCTTAGGTGGGGCCAGCTGTTGGAATGGAGAGCAAGTTTAGCTCCAGGTGGACCTCTGGCCTGGCTAGTGAAGGATCCAAGATGCCCTGATCATAGGCGCCGACTCCATGGGTGCTCCGGGGCTGGAGCACCCACGGGGAAAAATTGGTGGGTGCTCTGCACCCACCGGCAGCTCCCCGCCCCAGCTCACCTCCACCTCCACTCCGCCTCCTCCCCTGAGCGTGCCACCGTGTCCTGCTTCTCCTCCATCCCCTCCCAGCGCTTGCGCTGCGAAACAGCTGTTTCGCACAGCAAGCCTGTGAGGGAGGAGGGGGAACGTGGCACGCCTGGGGGAGGAAGCGGGCTGGGGCGGGGATTTGGGAAGGGGTCCAATAGAGACAGGGAGGGGCAGAGTTAGGGCAGGGACTTTGGGGCGGGGTGGAGTCGGGGCGGGGTCACGAGCACCCACCGGCGCAGAAAAAAGTTGGCACCTGTGGCCCTGATTACCAAGTCATTTGGTTCGTGGTAAGGGTATTTTGGTAGCTTCCTGCCTTTAGCTGTGGGACACTCCTGTTCATTTATAAGTGAATCAGCCTGAGCCAGCCAACCTTGCACTGCCCCTGGGGAGCACCTAACACACAGCCTGCCCCCTAGGTGTACAGGAAATAACCCAGTTCAAGTACCTGGTGTTGTCGTGAGTCAAGCTGTTTGTATCCTGCCAAAGGCCTCCAATCACGTTTAACAAAAGCTCCTTAGCACAGCCATGCCACGCTACAATTCCAGGAAAACCTAGAGGGGGAACATGAGCAATCAGTCACAAACAAACCGTTTTCAGAAAAAACAACGAGGAGTCCTTGTGGCACCTTAGAGACTAACAAATTTATTTGGGCATAAGCTTTCGTGGGCCAAAACCCACCTCATCAGATGCATGGAGTGAAAAAAAAAACCAAAACAGTAAGTAGAATATATATTATAGCACATGAAAAGATGGGAGTTGCCTTACCGAGTGGTCAGTGCTAACGAGGCCAATTCAATTAAAGTGGAAGTGGCCTATTCTCAACAGCTGACAAGAGGGGTGAATACCAAGGGAGGGAAAATTACTTTTGTAGTGCTAACGAGGCCAATGCAATCAAGGTGGCCCATTTCCAACAGTTGACAAGAAGGTGTGAGTCTCAGCAGAGGGAAAATTACTTTTTGTAGTGACCCATCCACTCCCAGTCTTTATTCAGACCTAATTTGATGGTGTCCAGTTTGCAAATTAATTCCAGTTCTGCAGTTTCTCGTTGGAGTCTGTTTTTGAAGTTTTTTTGTTGAAGAACTGCCACTTTTAAGTCTGTTATTGAGCGTCCAGGGAGACTGAAGTGTTCTCCTACTGGTTTTTGAATGTTACAATTCTTGAGAATTTCAGAAAGGCACACGCACAAATGCCTGGAGCTCCCTCTGCTGGAACAGGGGGGCTTCTACTTAGTTTTTTGAAGGAATTTAGTTCAGGTGAATAGTGCCAAACGCAGAGCTCTGAACTCTGCTCTCTGTCCAAAGAGCGGATACTGTGTGGGCTTCAGTGTTGCAAGCTGGCCCCACATCCCAGCCCATGTACACCAAACCTGACCTGGATGGGCCCAGCTGAAAGGGGAGACAGGAGTTTCATCTCCAACTCCACTAACTCCTTGGTCTCTGTGCTGAGGGTGCCAGCTGCAGTGGTGTTTGTTTGTTTGTTTGTTTTGCAATGTGGACACCAGTTCACCCAGGATGGGCTGAGGGCACCAAGACACTTCTGATGTGATCTTCCAGTCACCACTGACCGGCACTAGCTTTAAACTTTGCGCCACTCCATAACACTTTCTCACATCTGTCCTGGCCCCTGTTGGAACAGTTTAAGGTGGTGAACAAAACTCTGCATTAAAATGACTCAGAGTGCAGGTGGAAAAGAGGAAGCGAAAAAAAGCAGAAACTTACAAACTTCAAGCTCAGATGCAAGCCACAAGAAGACACACATTGTTCAGGAAAGAAAAGGTATTTCCCAGCTTTTTGGAGGGTTTTTACAGATTTGTGATTTCAAAAAAACAAAAAACCCCCACATACAAATACTTGGGCAGCAGTTCTTTTATCCATGATTTCTCAGAATTTACTTGGTTCCATCTAACAGCCACACATTAACCAATTAGATCTCAGAAAAAATTGGGGCCCTGCATCAGACCATTGGTCCATCTAGTTCAACACCCTGTTTCAGTCAGTGACCCACAACATATGTGATGTAAAAATCTTCCATAATGTACCAGACCAGCTGTGTCATGAAGGAGGCAAAAAGACCTCCTTTCTATTCTCCTCCTGATACCAGAGAAAACACCCCAGACTCCATTTTGTACCTCTGTCTTCCATTTTAAACGAGCAAGAGGCACTCCATGATTAAGTGAAAGCTGCAGGTCACACAGACTAAAAATAAAATTGGTGGGAAAACCAAAGTAGGAGAAAGGTCAGCAGATTATAACTATGAGGTAAACAACAATTGCAGGCTAAAAACAGAACTGATAGTTTGAAATGATTGGCAGTTGGCATGCACCCAAGTAAGATCTGACAGGAAGATATTAGCAGAAGTGTCTAGAAAGTTCTGACAGGACAGTATAAAAGTCAGGGTGTCTCAGTAGACAACTGACATGAGGGAAGAGCTGAAGAAGCAGAGACCTGAGACCTGAAAGACAAGCAGAGAAAGCAGCAGCACCACCACCAGAGGGAATCCTGTCAATAGAGCAAACTCAGCAGACAAAATAGGCTTGTCAGTCAAAGTTATAGTCATAGTATAGGATAGCACAGTGTGTGTGTGTGTGTGTTAATAAAGATATATGTATGTGTGTTGATTGTGGAGGAAATGTTTATATGTAAGACCTAAAGAACTGTTATCAATTACTATCAGCAACCTGCAGCAGACTGGCCATCGGAAACAGGGTGCAGCCACTTAGGAACATTTCAAACCACAAGGCAATATGGTTTGGGATGCTCTTTGAATTGCTATAAGGGAATCTGCACCAATAAAAAGGTGCCGGGTTTTGGAAAGAACACTGTTTTGTGCCAATCATTTATCAGAAGGTTGTAACCGTGTCCTCCAGGTATTTCCTTAACCACCCTGGAGACCCAGACCTTAGGAAAACAGGTTGGTTAATAAGTGGCTGTTTTGAGGGAACCATTGGTAAACCTGGGACAGAGTAATAAGTGAGCTATTCTGGGGGCATCCTAATTCTATTTTCGAGACCCTGAAATAGGTTGTTTGATCACCCTTTTCTTAGGCCTTGTCTTCAGTACAAAAAAGCATGTTGTTAACTTGAGGTAAAATCCTAGTGAAGACAAGGCAGTTTGTAGTTTTCACACAAGCTAGCAGGTAGAGGTAAACCCTGGGCTCCCCCATAGTCTTTAATTTGACTCGCTAATTTGTGTGGAAACTACAAATTGCATAATCTTCATGAGGATTTTACTTCGTGTTAGTTAACTTGAGATAAGAACACCCCTCTTTTTTTTTTTTTTTAAAGTGAAGGAAGACTTGTATATATTCTCCTCCAATGATGGCCCACCCCACTACTAAAGGGCGAAAGTTAATAGTGCCATGCTAAAAAGTCTATAATTAATGTCCCTAAACATTCTCTCAACTTTAATGTACACTGCACCATCATGATAGGGTTTTATTTTTTTTTTGGGGGGGGGGGGGGTCTTATGGTTTAAGCTAAGAATATGGAAAGGAAGTCCTGTGTGACTGCCTATTCACCATAAGGCTTGTCTTCACTGCAGAAGTAACCTGGCCTCTTACTCAGTTGTTGCCCGTAACCTGATTCCTGTCCACACATAAAAACGACCCTACATCAGAGGGAGAATCTCAGCTTTCAAGTAGTATCAAGCAATTTCTACATCTGTTGTTCTGCAAGATAATGGAAACAGTTAAAAACCATAGTGGAGTTGAATTGTGGGGGGAAAGCAAAAGTGTAATCCAAATGATGTGTTTTAAAAGCATGGGTGTCACATTTATCTTCATATGTGTTCTTATATATTAATAAAAATAATACATTCAGCAAAACATAAAGGCTAATATCTGTAACTCTGCTGTGGTCCCTGCTCCCTGAGAAGCTGGCTGGTGCATGGTTATACAAGCACAGAAATACAGGGCTGGAAAGGACCTCAAGAGGTCATCTAGTCCATCCCCCTTTGGAGGGGTAGGACCTAGTAAAGCTAGACCATCCCTGACAGAGGTTTGTCCAACCTATTCATAAAACTCTTCAATGATGGGGATTCCACAACCTCCCTTGGAAGCCTATTCCAGTGCTTACCCACCCTTATAGTTAGAAAGGGTTTCCTAATAGCTAATCTAAATCTCCCTTGCTACAAACTAAGATGATTACTAGTTATCCTACCCTTGATGGACAATTAATCACCATCCTCTTTATAACCACCATTTAGGTATATGAAGACTTGTATCCAGCCCTCTCAGCCTCCTGTTCTCTAAACGAAACATGTTCAATTCTTTCAGCCTTTCCTCAGACGTCCGGTTTTCTAAACCTATCATCATTTCCGTTGCTCTCCTCTGGACTCTCTCCAATTTTGCCACATCTTTCTTAAAGTGTGGCAGTCAGAACTGGACACAGTACTCCAGCTGAGGCCTCACCAGCACTGAGGAGAGCAGGACAATTATCTCCCATGTCTTACATAATGTAGCTAGGAAAGAACTAAACAACTGCTTTATTCCAGGTATTTCAAAACACAGGCTTGTAATCTAGAGTCTCACTAGTATAAACACATACTCTTAATATGTTCCAGCGACAGCTAACTAACTCTCATCACCATGTTTCCCCCACCACGACATACACATTGTACTCCAACTTATTCAAATATCTTAAGGAACCATTTGAAACGTTTGAATCATTGTTTTAGATAAACTTCTCCTTCTATATGAATTTCACAATGAGGGGCAGAAATAATATAAGTGCATAACAGCTCTGACATTGTTTGAACGTGACTCATCATATCCTAGGGCTGCCATTTCCAGCTCACGTACGCATACTGTGGTGACTAGAGGAGAGCTAGCGTGAGTATAAACAGTAGTGTAGCTGTGGTAGCATGGGCAGTGTCAGCACTGCTCAGTCATGCCAAGTGCAACCTCGCCTGAACCCTGTGGATATGTACTCAAGATGGCTCAGTTGTGCTGCCACTGCCCATGCTACCGTGGTTGCACTTCTACTCATACTCATGCTAGCTCTCCATCAAGCTAGCATGAGTACGTGTGTATGCAAGCTGGGAATCGCACTCCTAGCTCGGCATGTAAAGGTAGCCTAAGAAAAAATACTTAATATAACAATAAGCCACTCTAGGGGTCTTCGTTACTAGTCTATCAGAACACACCTCACATATGTTTCGGATGACCCAAGGTGTGGACCAATTATCTAATGCACTCTCAAGTGGCTTACTGCTATTAGAGTTTAGGGCCAAGATTTTTAAAAGTGATTAGTGATGGAGTGCCTCAATTATTGGGCACCCCACTTGAGATAGCTTAAAGGGGTCTGATTTTCAGAGGGTGGGTGATCAGCACTTTTTGAAAAATCAGGCCCCTTTTTAGGGGTCTCAAATTGGACCCCTAAAAAAAAAAAATGGAGCCACGAAGAGTCAGTAAACACTTGAAAATCTTGGCCCAGATCATTAGTTTTAGATGTATTTAAACTTTTAAAGAGACTTTTAATTGTTTTTCATCCTTGCACTATGGAAAACAGTTTGTGGTAGAAAAATATGAAAAAACACTATGGAAAAGGCCATAA